AGTGTCATGGTCTAGTAACCACAGTGGCACTGGATCAAGAGTTGGACTTGATGATCTCAGAGGTCTTTTCCAACCCAGATGATTCCATGATTCTATGATTCTATGAAATTTAAAGCACTGTGCTTCCAGTTGCCTCTGACAGCTCCCTTGTTTTCAGTCAAATCTATGAAATCAATTAAAGTATAATAAGAATTGTTATATTAATATCCAGATTTCCTCCATTTGCTGGAGGTATATACATTCAGTGACCAACATGGCCAAAGAAAGAAAACATCTAGGAGAATTTGCCTGAAAAAATAAAAGGAACTGCCTGGAGAAAATGGATATTTAGACATTCTCCTTGTTGCATGTGCACTGATGTGCACTCTGCAAACTGTGATGTGCACTCTAGTGGCCAAGCAGATTACCAAATCACTCTTACTTTTAGTCAAAGTGCCAAGAGCAGATTTAATTACAAAATCATAGAAGTAAGAAATAAATGAGACCTGCTGGATTAGATTATCTAGTCCTTCCCCCTGGGAAAGCAAAATAGTGCCCTAGAGTATATGCCTTTTTTAATCTTTTTTGGCTTGCTTTAAATGTTAATGGCCTAATCAAAGCAAGAGGAGGACTCTGCAAAAAAAGTTAAATTAAAGGGTCCTTCCCATTGCCTCTCAGTATCACTCTGTTTATGTGCTGGCTGCAAAATCTGTGTCCCTCCTAATTATTCGCATAGCTGATGACTGCTGTTTTCCAGTCAAGCATAAGAAATGTTTGAACCCATTTTTACTTGCTTACACTGAAACTGCCAGGCAGTTTTGCACAAGATCCCAGTTTGGCATGGGAACCATTCCAGGGCTTGAAAATCACTCCTGGAGTGTGCAGCAAGCTCTGCGTTTGTCAGTGTATCAGCTGTACTAAACATCTTGGCAAAGCTGCAATGCCTCTTATTGCCCAAAGGAACCAGCTAGGTGATGCACAGCATCTGGAATCTGTAGTTTTTAATTAACTTTATGATTATTTAGCATCATTATAGCATGTACAGGATTGTTGCATTGTGCCTGCCCTTAATCACGTTGGCATGGCCATCAGTTCAAAGGCAGTTCAGCAGACAAAAGAATTTTGCAGTGAACATTCAACAGTGAGGAAGAGCAGAAATCCGTGCAGTGAGTTTTCTCTGGCAAATTCGGGGAAGGGCAACACGCTTCTGTTTGTGGTTTGTTTTTTAATGTTTCTTACTCACTCTTGAGTTCCCTTCTGCCTGCAGCTGTCATGTGTGTGGGTTTGAGACGGAGATGAATGTCCAGTTTGTCAGTCATATGTCCCTCCACGTGGATAAAGAGCAGTGGATGTTCTCCATTTGCTGCACAGCATGCGATTTTGTCACTATGGAAGAGGCAGATATGAAGGCTCATGTCAACAACAAGCACACAGGTGATGATCCCTCTCTCCCAGCTGCAGTGATCTCTCCCTTCCTTGCTTTTTAGATGCAACCTTTACACTTCCCATTAGCACTCTGCTTTCACTGAAATGCTTGCTAATTAAGGCCTGATCTCTCAAAGTTGAAGTGAATTGGACTCCAGCCAGGCAAATAATCTGGTAGTGCAGATCAAATTTCAAGCTTAGTGAAATAAATGAAGGACTACTTAGCCCTTCTTCTTCCTATTCCCCTTATCCCCCAAATCTCCTTCCCTGTTGGAGTCAGCATACTTCATTTGTTTTTCTGACTGGTTTACTGTTTCATGAAAATCCTGGTTTGACTTCTGTGATGATAAGGTCACTTTGAGTGCTAATTGTGCATACCTGGCTGTAAGTCTGAAATAAACATTATCTTGAGCTTTGCTCTTGGGTGTGTTTGCCCCCACAGTCCATCAGTTTGGAATTTCACACTGATGTTTAGTTGACACTGTGATTCAACAATACCATAAATGTAACTTTATATTAAATAACAGAACAACTTGTGTTCTTTCCCTGGTCCTGTTCACTTAATAGCCAAGGATAAGAGCAGTTTTCCAACAGGCTCCATATGCTTAGTCCAACTAATGAAGTCTGGCATAATTTAAGGAGAAGAAAATTAAAATCCTTTTAATTAATATCTCTTATAACACCAGGCAAAAGCATTTTGCTGCCACAAACTACTCACAGTTGTGTTTACAATACTGAACCTGAACTGCATCCAGCACAACTTTTCCATTGCTAAATTGCTTTTCCTGTCCTACCAGGAGTAAAATTGGGAAAACAGAGGGGTGGAGAAAGAGAAGGGAGAGAAGAATGCAATTGGTTGTGTTCAAAGATACGTAAGTTAAATGTAACTACAGAAATACAAACTACTAGAAAGCTCTCAAGGGATTTTATGCCAGCACAGCTCTCGGCACTACCCCACTTCATATATAGGAATTCAAAGCAAATGAGAAAGGCCACCCATAGCCACGTGAAAAGCTTGCATCAGAGCTCAAAACTGAGCTGTACTCTACTGTATTTTCCTGTCATGGCTACAAGATTTAAACTGCTACTTGTCTTTTGAAGAAAAGCAAAAAGCCCTTCACCCTGCCCAACTGAGCCATTCAGCTGGTGATTCAGCCAAATGCTCACACATATGGCAAATACAGAGAAAAAATAGAAAGGATTTTCTGGGTCACTTGATTCCAGTCCCTTATCCTGTGATGTTACTAGGTCATAAATGGACTGTTTGTCAGGATGTTGGCATATGCTTTCAAAGAAGTGTACTTGTTTTAAACAAACTACTTCTATGGACAGGCAGCTGTAGACTTTCCTGCATTAAAGATTAGGGACCTTTTTAAAATTTCTGATTATCAGTAAGACACACACTGGAATACATGTACATTGTGCTTGTGCCAAAACTGCTCTTTATCTGAAACAGCAGTCCACCTCTCCCTCCCTCCTTCCACAGTATTTATTCCCTTAGTATATTTATGGAGAACAACCCTCTCCCCTCTAAATGTACATTGAGCCTTTTCTTATATGAAACACAGTTTTCTCGCTGTACCAATCCCTCACTGCATATGTTCTTGTTAGAACCCCTGCTCTTGACATGTGCAATCACAGCTGTACATGGTGAAATGAAATAAGTAGTGGTGGCAGTGTAAAACAGCCAGCAACTATTGGAAATAGCTCACACAATAATATTCCGTGATCATATTTTCCTTCCTTGAAGGCTCCCCAACACTGATTGCTCATATTCATCCCATGTTCTGCTCAGATTCTTCTTTTGTTTTCCTTGACTGTTTCCGACTTAAGCACTTCTCATTTGTAGCAAAAATTCTTGTTACTGGCCCTTCAGGTCATAACCTTGTACTCTGTGCTATTAAATTTCATTCCATTTCTATTACTCTGCTCCTCAAGGTCAGTGAATCTTTTCTGAATGATATCCTATCCCCCTCCCTGTTGGCAGCTCGGGTCATCAGATTTCATTAGTGCATTCCTACATTTTTATCGTAAAGGTGCCACTCATAAGTTTAAAGTTAGGCACATAGGTGCTGGTGTTTGCAGAGGCCTTGATCAGGGGACTATGTCACATAGAGAATTTGAAGTTTTAGTAAACACAGCTCTGATTGAAGCAAGACATGGGTGGGAGGTAATAATTTACCCATCCTTGCCTTGCTGGCTTATGTCAGTTCTCATATGACAACTCTCACTCTTGTTCACTTCTGGTGTGTGACAGGGTTTGGGATTTGAACTTCATACATTTAATGCATACATAAGGATGCTCTGATGGGCTTTATCTCTGGGTCCAGTTAAATAACATTGTTTTCAATTATCTTCAGTAAGAGATCCTAATAAAAACAAGTAAATCTCGAGACCACACAGGTATCTCTTACAATGATTGCTGAGGATGCTCTTCACTACAAGGAGTGAGATTATTCTCCATTACCCTTCCTCCCAGATTTACCCATTGGACCCACATAAACAGAAAGGTAGGGGAAGTTTAGCTTGGACAAGTAACTAAACTGCTTTCTGCACCCCAAAACTACAGAAGTTCTATTTCCTTTCTAAGTGACAAGTTCTTCATTGGTTTTGAACTCAGAGTAATCAAAGTGTTTTCTTGGGATTTTTTTTGGTCTGGTAATGAGGTAGAGTTGCATGATCCCTTCCCACTACCATTACAGGCAAACTCAATTGTAAAATAAACTGAGAGATGCATTGTGGTTAAAGTGCTAATAAAAAGGAAGGAGGCCCAACAATGATTTTTTTAATCAGCTCAATTAATTTCCGCCTTGTTTTATAAGCATGTTTGAATTAACTTTAAATATAAATACTTCCTGGAATTTAAAACAGGATCACAGAAATTCTGTCTAATCTGCTGAAGCAGCTATTGCTCCTTATTTGTGTTTTTCAGCTGAAGAGAGGAAGACACCCAGTGAATCTAACAGTCCATCTTCATCTTCGCTGTCAGCACTGAGCGACTCTGCCAACAGCAAGGAAGATGCAGATATAACCCCAAAAAACAAGGGGTCAAACAACCTGCTAGTCATTTCTGTAGTGCCTGGTAGTCAGACCTCAGTGAACGCTGAAGAGAAGTCAGAGAAAGGTAAAACACTGTTTAACAAATGCAAACTGTCCCCTTCTATGCAGTCAGTCTGGCCACAATGTCAGGGATGCCTTTTCCTGTTCTATTTTTCAGGCTTTGAATGTGTTTTCTGTAACTTTGTCTGCAAAACAAAAAACATGTTTGAGCGTCACCTGCAAATCCACCTGATCACACGGATGTTCGAGTGTGACGTGTGCCACAAGTTCATGAAGACACCTGAACAATTACTGGAGCACAAGAAATGCCACACTGTCCCCACCGGTGGGCTCAAGTAAGGAAAGCAAGTACACAAACTTTTACTGTGTTAAGCATCTCTAATTCTGTGGGGATAGGACAAAAGGAAGTCAATTAGAAAGGGTTGGTTAACTGATAATTCAGATCTGGGGCTTCCTTTTATTTAATGAACCGTGCCCCATCCTTTAGGCTTGCATCATTAGAGCAGATTGGTAACCTACTATCCACTGGTGTTTTGGAGCTGTAACAAACTGTGGTCCTTTCCCTTTTCATGTCAAAGAGGAGACAGTATGTGATGGGCCCTACAGAGAATGAGGCACAGGTTTTGGCAGACCAAGGGGGTTTTTTATTAGAGCAAAGGCAAGCACACAGCACAGGCTCTGTTCTGCACCTGGCTCAAAAAAGACTAAGCCCTGTAGTCTCTGCATCTAGCTACCAAGTTACAACCTTAAAGGTTATAACCTTTGTATACTCTAATGCAAAATCATTTCTCTCCAGGAATGAATAACTTTGATGCTTTCTGCTTTGGTTTACATGCCCCGGAATAATCACTGTTGGATAAATTAACCTGTAACCAGTCATACAGTCTTTTGAGAAAAAAGCCCTTTGGTTTTGGCTACAGTGGTGTACTTTAAGGTCTTACTGGTGCAGAGCAGTGTTTCTAGAGAATGTGACCTTATGTCAAAGTCAGACCCCTGAGGGAAGGAGCGACTGCTGGGGCCATATGCTTGCTCTCTGTGGGCAGGCAATGTGATGTTATGAAAGAGGCACATCCCTGGTCTCTGTTTGTTCCAGCTGCTGCAGGAAAAAAAGGCTGGGACCACTTGGAGCCCAGCTAGGGCTCAGCACAGGGCTCCCAGCTTCTGTTGCTCTTGCTAAGCAGGCTGATGTTGTCAGTGCACTGTAGCTGTGCCGTGAGGAGCACACCACCTTTAACGATACCGCGCGCGGCTCTGTCGGTTGGTGCTGCAGCTTTTGAAAACTGGTTCTGTTCGCCAGGCAGCGTCTGGTCTCCAGCTCAGTAGTTCCATAAACGGAGATCTGCGGTCACTTGAGATGTGATGACTGAATCTGGGAAGAAGACCAGATTGAGAAACAAGTAATGTGCTAGAACGAGGGGATGTCTGTCTTGGACATACAGACCAGTTGTCTAATGCACATTTGATCTAAGCTGCACAAAATCTGTTCTATTTACCAAGGAAAAACCATGACCTATGACTCAAGTCTTCCTGACAGAATGTGCTTTTTAGTCTACATAAGTTATTCCTGCCCAATTCAAGTAATAATCAGTTACCTTGAAAGCTGCACCTAAGAAAAAGCTCTGGTTTATTTTTTTTTAAGGCATCCAGAAGAGCCTGAAGAGATCTAAGTAAATTGTATTTTTCTGTCTCCTGTTTGCTGTGGGGGAAGAGAAAAAAACATGATTCTTCCAGCTCCAGGTCAAAATCTGAGATTCTGATCCAGAGAGCACCCAGCCCAGGAGAGGTATGTGTGCATAGACAGCCAAGTCCTCTGTTGCAATAGAGCTAATCACAGTAGAAGCCTCAATGCCAGGCTCCCTCTCTGGATCAGAGTACTTGATGTGCCTCAGGAGAAGTGTCCAGACGTTTTAGTATCGGTTTTGTCCTCCTGTATTACTCACTTTCCTCAAAAGTCTCTCAATTAGCTTATAGATTAATATTAAACCTGTATGTGCAACCAGTCGTAGCAAGGAAAACACACCCGGAGAGAGAGGAACTCATCTTAGAAAGTATCCAGAATGCTAGAACGCAATTAGCGGACCTGCTAAGCAGTGAATGCAGATCTGTGGCAGCTGTAAGACTGTAAGCCAGGTGCCTTAGTTGTATCTTCTTATCCAGTCCTGCTCTTTCAGCTCACCAGTTCAATCTGAAAGGCTGTGTGCTTGGTTTAAGGGGGCAGAGATCCCTGACAGTTAGTTGTCCTCTCAGCTACACAAAGCAAAAGCGGGTGTGTTTCAGGTTTGTTGGTGTCCAGGCTTGTTCAGCGTGCAGCTCAGGCTTCTTTCCAAGCTTACTCAATTCCCTCCTCCAGCCTTCCAGGCCCTTCCTGGTTCAGGAACTGGGGTGAGGCCCTTTGCCATGTCCATCCTGGGCCGGATGCTTGCTGCTGTGAGTAAGCAGAACCCACATCCTGTTCCTGCACAGGAACGATTCCTGCCATGGCAGAGGCGGCTGTAGGCAAACACTGCCAAACACACGCCCCTTTGAGCACGCCTAGCTCATGTCCCAGAAATGGGAATCCCTACAAATCCTCCTAACAGCCTGGCTTTCAGCTGCTCCTAGCAGGATACCCAGCAAACTTACTGTTCAAGGTCACATAAAAGGAATTTCCTAAGCTTTTGCTGTACGTGTGGTATTACAAGTTTATTCCATCTTTACTTAAACAGCTGCTTTCATACTCATCTGTAAACACTCACTTTAAACCACTTCTTAATGGAAAAAATGGCCAAAGTGACTCCGTGCAAACACTAGGAATGTCGTTACACAAAGTACCTGTGCATCAGTCACCCATTCTGCACTACCCGGCCTGCTTTGCAGAATCTTCCCCATCAAGGTAAGCCAGAAGGTTAAAGGGATGCTGCTTCAGAGTGAATCAGTGTTTTCCTAGGAAAACTCTACTGCCATTAAATGGGCAAAACCCCTTTAAGTAGGGATGTGTCTAGGCAAACCAAGTATTGGAAAGAGGCTTCACAGGGAGAACTGAGTGCCTTTTTCTCCTCTTTAGTAGGTCAGAGAGGGGCTGAGTGACAGGGTTAAACCAGGGATGTAGGTCTTCAAGCTGAGTGACTTCTCTCTTCCTGTCCCTGCCTTTCCTTGCTGTGTTGCCAGGTGCCCATTCTGCATCTACTCCACAAACCGCCCCGCAGCGATGGAGTGCCACCTGAAGACTCACTACAAGATGGAGTACAAGTGTCGGATCTGCCAGACAGTGAAAGCAAATCAGCTGGAGCTGGAGATGCACATCCGGGAACACCGCCTTGGCAACCATTACAAGTGTGACCAGTGTGGGTACCTGTCCAAGACGGCCAACAAGCTGATCGAGCACGTGCGTGTCCACACCGGCGAGCGCCCTTTTCACTGTGACCAGTGCAGCTACAGCTGCAAACGCAAAGACAATCTCAACTTGCACAAGAAACTGAAGCATGCTCCACGCCAGACTTTCAGCTGCGACGAGTGCCTGTTCAAGACTACCCACCCTTTTGTCTTCAGCCGCCACGTGAAGAAGCACCAGAACGGGGACTGCTCCGAAGAGGAGAAGAAGGGCCAGTATTCAACCTCCAAGGAAGCCAGTCCTCTCCTACCGGTGAACAGCTCCAGAAACCTTCTGTCACCCCTCTCAGTTATGTCTGCCTCCCAGGCTCTGCAAACAGTCGCTATGTCAGCTGCACAGGGCAGCGGGGCAGAGCCGAACTTGGCAGTGAAAGCCTTGGCCGTCAATGGCACTTCCCTGTGCTTTGATAAATACTGGAACTCAGAGTTTGCCCACCTTATTCCTTTAACAATGTTTTTCCCCAAAAACCACTACGATCTCACATTCCATCCGCCCCGACCTCAGACTGCACCGGGAGGTGCCTCTTCACCTAAACACTCCTTCCTTGCCTACCTTGGACTAACAGAAAGGGCAGAAACTGTCTGAGGGCAGTTGCATTCTGTACCAAAAATACCCCAACAAACCCAGCAGGTACACATGGCTGCAAAATGTAGACCGAAGAGGTAACGAACACTTGTACTATATCGTTAGTAAGGTTTAGCAAATGGCTCTGTGTATATACTTATTGCATTGACATGAAAGCTGCTTTATTAAATCTCCAAGAGGTGACCTACTGCATACTTCTACCTTCAGAGGCATGTTCCCAGTACTCTTATCTAAGAAACTATTTTGTCTTGTTAAGCTGAAAAAAAAAAGAGTGTCCTTAATGGCAATCAGCACTTGTAAGATTACATATTGATGCATTTTATTTTTTGGGCTTTGTGTGCGTGCGGGTGCGTGAAAAGAGAGTCTGCCTGTAGTGTGCCATGACATTGCTTTTGCACATCCCTTGGATTGGCTTATTTAATTATTATTCTTTTCCCCCTTTTCACACACTCGCTCCCTCCCTTTTCCCTGTTTCCTCCTGAACTGTGGAGTTGTGGAAGAAGCAATTGTTTGGGTCGGGGGGGGGAATTGGTATATTATTTCAGTGCTGTTTGCAGCTTCCTTTAGTTGTTTGATGCCTTGTACTCAGTTGTCAAGGTTTGAGGATTTGGGGTAGAACTGACGAGGAAAAGGTTGCTTTCAGCGCTGCAGGATGAGAGTATGACAATGAAAACCATGCGTATGTACACACATACACACAGCAGGCCCAATTCTTAACTGCTACACAGGTGTGACAAACACCTGCATCTGGGCCATAGCATACATCTTTTGTTTTAAAAGGGCATATAAATATTATATATATATATATATATACTGTATTATGCAGTGGTTACCTTTTAGTTTGCAGGAAACAACTTGTATAACTAGAAATCTATGGTGGGAAAAAATCCAACAAGGGGATTTAAAAAAGGGTATGGATAAATTCTGGGTATAAATACTCAGACTAAAAAAAAAAAAGGCAGTTTTGCACAGTGCTTTAGTCTTGCACTAGTTTGTTTCTCACTTGCAAAAAAAAAAGAAAAAAAGAAAAAACAAATTGTGGGCTGAAGGTAATAAGACTGTTTATTTGAAAAGGTACCAGTAACTTCTTTAAAATATAAAGCTATAAAAAGACGCTTTTGGAACCATACAGTTCTCTTTTATACCCTCAGTATTTCAATTGTACTTGCAAATTTGACAGTCCTATTGCTACCCTCCATGTCATTAGTAATATTTTATTCCTTTTTGTTAATGGCAGATAGAGTGTACACTGCTAGGAAGCTAACTTTGTACTTATTTAATGCTCCTACTTGTGGTCATTAAAATGACATGTTATATGTAGCACTTTATTGCAGGAAGAAGCGAATGCGGATTGGTTGTATAACCTTCGTTAATCTCAAAATGCCAAGAGTGATCTTAATTTAAGAGCAGCTAACTGACTGTTAATTGATTTGTGCCCCTTACACAACGTAATGTGCCGGAAGAAAGACTGGGATTAAAAACACTCTGCATTAAAATTGGAGGTATAAAATGTGAAGCATTTCAAAATTATCCTATGACTTACAGGAATGCCTTCTTACTCAATTATTGTTTTCCACGGTGTCTCTCGGATTTGGATCTCACTGTCTTTTACCAGGTATCAGAAGTGTCCGACCTAGCTTTTGCTAGAGTCCCCTCGCTGTCCCTTGGCCAAGCCACTGTAGGAGGTGCCCTGAGTCACATCTGTCATGCTATCTACCCACCCTCGTGCTGCCCTGAAGGAACTTCTCTGGCAGGTTGTTGTGGGTTGGGGGGATCCAACAACCCCTTGTTCGTGACAGCAGTACAGCAACGCCCTAGTTCAGGAAGGCATTTCTTGTCCACAAGGGCTCTTAGCCATATGCACAACTAGAAACGTAACTCAATCTTCATTAGTTCTTAAATGAAGCTTGTGTAGAAACTTTTTGGATGCAAAACTTGCATCACTTAACCTATTTGCAAGATTCCTACATCTGTTTTGTATTGAGATGGCCAAACATTCTCCACTGTCATGACCAAGTTCCTCCTGTTTGGGGAGGACACCCTAATCTGTGCCCTCCTGTTAACATACTGGAAGCTATTTACAAGGGGGAAATATCTAAAATCATAGCAGCTTATCATTTGGAAATATTAATTCCAGGACAGAGAAGTCTCACCAGTTTATTTACATTCCAGCAGGCAGTTTTGGTTCCAACAAGCATGTGGCGGTTCTGTCTACACAGTACAGAAAACCCATCTGCTCCAAAGTATGTATAAACCTTTGTCAACAACTGTGCTTTACTCCATCAGAACTCCTGGTAACACCTCTCCAGGAGCAGAGACAAAATAGAAAATACCGTATTAGTAAATACTCAAAGCATAAAAAGTGTAATATCTCTGCAGCATGAAATCTGCAATCTGCATCCAGAAACTATACCAGTTCTGTAAAACACACTCCATGCGTGTATCTCTGACCTCATCACAGAAAAGCAAACACTCAAAAATCAAAAAAGACTTGTTTGTCAAACTGACAGGTAAAGTACACCTGTCCAGGAGGAAGCAGGAATATTAGTAGGACACTTGATATAAACCAAAAGGCAGTTTAAATAGGGCTGGAACTTCCAGGAATGAGCTGTCAGCGTGCACGTGTCACCAGTGTTCCACTGTACCAGTATCTGACATGGTAATGTTTAGTGTACCTGGGAAATTTGTTTAGCACTTTGGAAAGGATAAATTAATTCTTTCTGGCAAGTTATAGAAGTTTTCTTTGTAAGGAAAAGTGTGTTAGGAGGTTTTTATTTTTTTAAGAAAATAAATACACTATTTATCAGAGCTCATGCATATTAAAATAATTTGTTTGCAGTTCAAGGCTAAAGAAAGGAATGTTCTCCAGAGGTTCCCCCTACTGATTAATGACCAACAGTTCTGATAAATTCCCCCCACCATAAAGGTAATTTCATACTGGTTTTCACTATGCATTCTTTAATGAGAGCTAGCGTGTTTTTCCATTCAGTAATTCAGTTAAAGTTCTCAGCACTTTTTTCTTTCTTCTGTCCTTTTTTTTTTTACTTGTTGTATTATGTTCAAATATCATTCTGTCAAGGTTTGTGTACATTAATAAAAATTTGTATTGTATAAAGCTTTTTGCATTATAAGGCTGTACAGGGTCATTTTGACAGTAACTGGTATATTTCTTTGCATCTTATGTTGCATTGCCAATTTCTAGTGTATCCAGTTTGGAAGTACAATATACTCTAATTAAAAAGGTTGGCTATATTCTTGTTTCCTTTTGGTTTTCCTTCCTCTCTTTTTTTTTTCCACCCTAAATATATTTAGAGTTGATTTGGAGGCAGGGAGAAAGGATTCTCCAACAAGGCAAGACGATATGAAGAAAAAAGGGAAGATGTTATCAATGATTGAAATTGAAAAATTGGTTACCACTACTGATGAAGAAATATGGCAAATAGTCCTAGGATGGCTATGGGACTTCACCTTGTGGGCTCTGTGCTTGTCCCAACCCTCTAGGTCGATTCTGCAAGGGGGATAATGCCTCTGCTGAGCACTCTAATCAGACATGCAGTTCATAAAAATCAGATCCTTAAGCACTAGTTCAGTGAACCTGGCCTTGTTTGGGAGTGGTCCCAATGAAATCAGGAAAACTCCTTCCTTAAAGAGGAGCTATGCAGTGAATAAAAGAACATGGTGCGCTAAAATATTGTAGTGAAAATCTATTTTTTTAAATTGTAAAAACATCATGTACTTATCAGCATTGTAGAAAAGCCTATTTTTTTACCAAAGATTAATGAAATAACTAAAATGCACAGAGGACACTAAGGAAGGAAACCCTGAGAGCGGAAAAATTTCCAAGAAGCAAAGGTATATTCAGTCCACTGAAAAAAAAAAAAGATACTCAACTTCCTAAAAGGAAGTTGGACTATTTAAATACTAACCAAGGAAAAAAATAATCTGGGTATTCATTAGATAAAAATTATCCTCAGATAAATTAATGTAAACATGAAATACATGTGGAGTGCCCTTGCCCTCAGTTAGGGCAGTGTTAAGGCCTAAGCAACTGAAAAATGGTTATTTCTACTGAGGCGTGGATACTAATTTTTAGGGCCTCTATCAGTACCTTGTACATGGTGCTGTTAACAGCCTGGGAGTTGAAATCCACTGCTCCTCTTTTGCTGGAGGCTATGTAGGTGAAGGAAAAGCTTTGACATTGGGTTGGGAGGTCATGGTCAACCAGAGGCGGCCTCTCTCTCTCCTCTCGGACTATATCTGTAATAGAAAATATACAGTGATACTCTATGTAGAGTTTTTTGCACTAGGCATAAATAGTTATCCTAGCAACTAAAAGACAATCATGCAAATCATGCCCAGAACAGCTGTGGATGACCCATCCTTGGAAGTGTTCGAAGCCAAGTTGGATGGGGCTCTGAGCAACCTGGTCTAGTGCAAGGTGTCCCTGCCCATGGCAGTGGGGTTGGAACTGGATCTTTAAGGTCCCTTCCAACCCAAACCATTCTATGATTCTATGAAGAAGTGGCTTAATTGTTTAATTAAGTTCTAAATCACCAAAACCAGACAGCAGAATTACTTAAGATAAGCTGCAAGGGGGGTGAATTATCTGACTGAATTATCCTGACTGCCTAAGTAGTCAGCAAGCAGTTAAGTGCAAGTCTTGTTGTAGCTCCAGCCCTAGAGTCTTATGATAAACTTTTGCTTAAAACTCAGGCCCAATCTCAACCAAAACATAAACCATCCACCTCCAATCAGTCTCTCCAGCTTCATAATCTGACAGAAAACCCCTACATGTACTCAAATAGGGGCACTAGTGTCACATGCTGATGTGCCATAAAGAGCCACTGTCCTTTGCAGCAGGTGGCTGTAACATGCTTGTAGACCTGCATGATTTTAATCAATTAACTCTCCCTTAATCTGTCTTTTCTGATACATATACCAATATACAAATGTGATTACAGAAAACATCTCAGGTGGCACTGATCCTTTCAGGAAAAGAAGTGCTCTGTTTTCATTCTGAATCTATGTACATTTTTAATATGTCATTATGTTTTCAAAAAGTAATTAACTTAAAATTGACATGTTTTTCAAGGAGAATTATTTCTTACAATTGTACACATGCCATAGTCATCATAAGCCCAGCAGAACAAGGCTTAAGAGGGACTTTGAGAGGAAAAAAAACCAAAGTAATGAACCTACAATTTTCTGTAACACTTCACTGTAGAGGGATTTTCTACAGTAGAGGGGATGGCATCATTTATGCAGAGCCATGTTTTAAGATACACATTGTGTTAAAAGCACATCAGTTATGTTCCTAAGAGACAGACATCTCCATTATATCACCCACCATCATATCTGCTGCTAATTGGCCTCCTTGTTGACAAGTCTCAGCGGCAAGGTTAAGTACTGGCTGTAAAAGCAATCTCGCCTCTTGCCCGAAGGGTCAGAGCTCAGGCAGATGGTGCAGGAGCCTGCTCGGCCTCTTCCCTGCTATATATTTTCTGAGAGCTAATAAAACACCAGTGCAATCACTCCTACCCGGAGGTCTGCCAGCCTCTGTGGTGTCTGTGGAGCTGCAGCAATCGGTGTGTCATCACAGAGGCACTCGAGTCGCCTGCAAGGGAAAAGGCATCGTCTTTTGCACCAAAGTTTTAGTAACTCCCAGAGAGGCACTTAAAAAATCCCTGAAGTGACAGCTAACACTGAACATGTGGCAGCCAAGGCCTGAGTGTCCAGCAGGAGCCCCCGGAAAAGGGATGGGTGTTGGGTTTAGTGTCCCATGCCCCATGAAGAGTCTTCAAGGCGACTTGTCTTGACCAAACACAAATCCACTAAGTGCTTTTAAAAACCTTCTCCCTGAAATGCTGGTGAGGGGTTGCAAGGAGCAGCCTGCTGTCTGTTTCCCTGGATGAGTGCACCAGCTGGAGTGGGGCATTGCTGGCATCAGGCCAGTCAGGGTGAACTCAGAGGGCACACATGCCTTGGCAGGCCCAGGCTGAGTTAACAGGTTACACCAGAGTTCTACTTGGCTGTTGGGCTCCTTGCACAGCCCTTGGGAATGTAACACTATGTATCCTAGGAAGCCATCCAGTTGCCAGATACCAGGCAATACATCAGAAATGCAGCTGCTGGGCTTCCACATGTGCATGACAGCTGTCTTTGACCAACCTGGCAGATTTACATGTATGACTGACCATTTTAAAATAGAAAAGAAGAAAAAAAAGGAAAAGGTAACTTAGAGCTGGAGTTGAGCAGTAGCAGGGGTGGGGGGGACAGACCAACTGGAAATGTTTCATTAATTTTAAAAGAAAAGGAAAACAAAACAACCTCCCAAAAACCCCAACAATTTCGCAGCAGAAGAGCACAAAGTGATAGTCTGGCATCTTTTTTGCGGCCTGTGGAAGCCCCTGCAGCCTATTTCCCTACTTTAAAATGGGAGAGGACTTTCCATGCTAGGAGGTGGCTTTACTTTGTTTTGGTTTGCCTTTTTTTTTTTAATTGTTTCATTTCCCTTCCCCTTAACCATGATTAAAATACCACATATGGCACAACTCTGAAGAAAAAAAACCACCAAACAAAAACCACGCAAAACCCCCAGCTAATGAAAAAAGACTTCAAGTTCCTGTACTATCCTCTGCTGTTTGCATTTAGTTCTGCTCTACTTTACTTTTCAGACCTCTACTTTCTCTCACATACCTTTTTATATCCAGCACTTCTCAGGCAGCATTTCACTGGAAGTGTAAACTTTGGATTGTTACTCTTCTGGGAAGGTGCCTGTTTAAATAAAGAAGAGAAAAATGCTCTCTCACTGAGTCCCTAGACCTTCCTGCCAATGTTTGCAGTGCAGCCTAAAGTGACCAAAACCAAAAATAGGCCTCACTTTCTGGCTGGTCAAAAAACCATCAGATTCTTTCTTGATTCTTTCCCTGTTATTTAAGAGTGGAATGTTCATTCACACGCCAGACCGAAGAATTTGTTTTTTAACAGATTTAACAGGAAGCCAGTTGGGAGGGTCAAAGCTGTAACTAATGTGCTCACACATAGCTGAGTAGGACTGTGGAACCATAAATTGCAGGACTGCAGGAAGGAATAGGAGCATGTTTTCCTGGTTTGCTCTCACTGCCTCCTTAAGTGCATTGCCACAAATAATCACATGAGCCTGGTCTAGCCCCTTCTCAGGAAAGGCACCTCCACACCATCACACAGCTCACCCTCTGTAGTGTCATGCACACAGAGCTTGCCTGGGGACTGAGAGCAAGTGCTCCTTGAGAAGAAAGCAAAAAGTCATTTGGCTTCCTTGTAGGACTAACTTCTCTAAAACCCTGTGAGGAGTATAATGCAGAATTTCTTGATAGAACCAGCAAAATAATTTATGACAAACTATACACGCCTTGTACTCCTTGAGTGCAGGGATCAAAACTTTTCTGATATCTAGACTTTCAGCACACAGTGTACAATTGCATTCCATCACAGTTAGAAGCAGTAGTTGTTTTAGCAATAAAATCACATAATCTTTTCTTCCTGAAACTGAGAAAAAAATTTAAATGGTATGGGACTATAAGTAAAGAGAAACAGTTGCAGGAGAGCTCCTTTCATCGGTGTGATTCTGAAATAATATGCATACATTGGTGGCTGTCACTCATTCCAGTGACACTTTTAAAATGTACCAGAATAGCTCTATTCACAGGTCTTACCAGAGCAATGCCCATTTGCACCCTGAATATTTAGTAAGGGAGCATTAAGACTTCATGTTTTTATACTTATAGCTACCTACTTTTAATGGGACTGTGTACCTAGAACTTAATGAAAAAATCTAAATATAATGTCAATGTGATTTAAAAATATGCACTGCATCTTTTAAGTTGACATTTCAATTAAAAATAAATAAGATCCAGTTATATGGTGATACTGTGCTGATTGCATTTTTACCAGTCAAGTTTTATTCTTACTCAAAGTGACAGATTTCTCTAAGATAGACAGAGCCAGGAAGTTCAGTCCTCCAGCCACTCAAACCAGGAAAATATAATCAAGGGGGCATTTAAACACTTCCCAAAATTGGGGCATCACATTTTATGGATAAATATATTTCATAGAATCATTAAGGTTGGAAAAGACCTCCAAGATCAAGTCTAACCATCGACCAAACACCACCACATCAACTAAACCATAGCAATAAGTGCCATGTTCAGTCATTTCTTGAACACTTCCAGGGATGGAACTACCTTTCAGGTAGTTGTAGAGAGCAATAAGGGCTCCCCTGAGCCTCCTTTTCTCCAAACTAAACAACCTCAGCTCCCTCAGCTGCTCCTCAAGGATTTACCCTGCAGACCCTTTCCCAGTCCCATTGCCCTTCTCTGGACACGCTCCAGCACCTCAGTATCTTTCCTGCAGTGAGAGTAGCTTGGTGAGCTCTTCCACCAGCTCCCTCAGAACCCTTGGATGAATCCCATCTGGTCCCATAGACCTGTGAGTGTCTAAGTGGCACAGCAGGTAACTAAATCTAAGACTGGAATGTCTTAAGACCCCCCCTGGATTGCAGGGGGTCTATTCTGCTCCCCATCCCTCTCTACCAACTCAGGGGGCAGCTGCCCTGGGGATAACCAGTCTTTCTGTTGAGGACACAGGCAAAGAAGGCATAAAATACCTCAGCATTTTCCTCATTCTTGGTTACAGTGTTCCCCTCCACATCCAATAAAGGATGGAGATTTTCCTTGGATCTCCTTTTGTTGTTAACGTATTTATAAAAACATTTTTTATTATATTTCACAGCAGTGGCCAGATTGCGTTCTGGCTGAGCTTTCACCTTTCTAATTTTCTCTCTACATGACTTAACAACACCCTTGTACCCTTTTCTGAGTTGTCTGCCCCATCTTCCGGAGGTCATAAATTCTTTTTTTTCCCTCCCCAAGTTCCAGCAAAAGCTCCCTATTCAACCAGGCTGATGGTCTTCCCCGTCGTCACGTTGTTACTTTCCTGTGGATAGTCTACTAAACCTAATAACTGCATATTAAAGTTTAATTCACATCCAATTTTAACAGGAAAGCAATGCCACGTGCCCTGCAAAAGTTTATTGTACACATCTACATGTGTGTACCTACCGTCTAAAGCTCTTCCAAGTACCTGCTTTAACTGGGTTGCAGCAGCTCTGCTTTATGACACTGAGTCGACCCATGTGTTCAGCTCAACTTGTGTAACAAGGAATTAAATAGGGAAAAAAGCATCCAATCATGTTTTCTTCTAAGAGCTATTTGGTTAATTAAGGTCCCTTTGCTGCTGCCATAGTAATCACATCTGACGTACCCCTAACGAGACTGCACGAGACGTAAGTACTTATGATACAGAGGCAGGACTGAGTTGTTGTCACCAGCTCTGGTCTTTTCTTTAAAACTACTCATATCTTCAGCACCTTCTTGTTCCACAAGTTACACGTAAACCCAGTACGTAAGAAGTACTTTGTTTGCTGCAGTCATACACAAAATTACCCCACACTGCTTGCACTGCAAACACAGCTCCTGATTAGCCTTCCCCAAGCTATTTTATGGGTGCCTTGAGCCAGATGGTCCCACTCTGTTTGCTCTCACCACAAGCAGAGGCCACTCCATACTTGTGAACATCACTGTCATCTTTCTCTGGCCCTCTCCACTCACATGAAAAGCTCATTCTGCTCACAGTTCACCTCCACGACTGGTAAAAGGGTTGACCCTGCTAGATGAACCCATTAATTTCTCAATTCCAACCAGTATCCTGCTCTCAGGGTAAATGCTACTGACTAAACTTCAGGAGAAAGAATAATTTAAAGAAAAAAAAATAAGTCCATAAATTGGGATTTCTCAGAGGTTTCTTCCAGCAGAATGTTTTGCTGTCACAGACAAGTTTTAAAAGACACAGGAATTTCCTCAGTTGTGGCTCCTGACAATAAGCACTACTGCCCATCTTTTAGCCGACTGCCCTTGGATTTGGTTCCCAAATTCCTGTACACAGAGAGTTTTTCTTGAGCAATCTGTAGAAACTGGACATTTTCCATCAGGATTTTTGATTCCGTTACTGTAACAAGCTAGTTCCTCAACTTTTATATTTCCAATTGGCAGCACAAGTCACATAAGTGTTGTCAGTTTTTTGTCACCTAATCAATAGCTTGTCAAGATCCAAGCTCTCATTTGGTGGCAGATACTTCAAGAATCCTCCACATTTAGAGAGCCAAAACAAAACAGGTGGGGTATGTTGCTGTACAGTTCAGAAAATGTTTCCCATTTAACTATTTTAGCTTCCTGGGCTAGTCTAAGAGAGGAACAAAGACACCTAACTTTTAATGACCAAATGAAAATAAAGATCACCTAAAACTGTCACTGTCAGCCTAGGAAAGGCCAGGACTCTGAAGTATCCAGTGGGAATGTTTCCTAGCTGCCCTTGGGCTGCATGGTTCAAAGCTTGCTCTTGGCACTGCCAAATGACCAGGGACTACCTCCTCCCAAGTCATCTGCCAATTCATGACAGGCCAAAAACTCAAAAGAAATCCCTTAGTTCTGCAGCTCTTTGTAGAAACCTCAAAAAGAAAGGCTATTTACCTCTAATTCCTCTGAGATCTCCTGTCTGTATGTATGTTGACATTGAATTTACTGTGCAAACACTGAAAGCCAGAGAACTTCCACCCCAGCAGAAGTGCACATACCTTGTCTCCTCTTGCTCTATTCTTTCTGTGGATGTGTCCAGTTTCTCACTTGTAACAAGTTGCAATGTGCTAACAAACTCAGATCGATTATTTTGCTTCCCCAGTAAGACTGCCAAGTCCCCCACATCTCATCACAGGCTTTCTGAGGGGGACTTTCTGAAGACTTCTTTCCTGTTAACAAAAAAAAAAAGGGGGGGGGAAGCACCTGCAACATCCAATAGCACAATTAATATTGTTAGTCAAGTGAAATCTGAAATCTTATACCATCCCGAGGAAGCATTCAACTTGCATTCTGATGGTAGCCTTGTTTACTCTTCCTTCCTGGCAATAAACAGGACAACCAATGAAGAAAGCTACCCTCAAGGAAAGATTCCCTGCCACCTCTTTCAAAGGTCTTTGAAAGATCTCCCAGGAAGGTGGGAAACCTCCTACCCACAGACACAGGCCAGACTGCTGCTAAGCAGAGGAAGAAAGTCTCGCCCTTTTCAACTCCAGCAGGCAGTCTGGGACACTGGGCAGAGACAGCCCAAGATAAGGCAGCAGCCTGTCCACACACCATCATCTGCCCACACCAATACATCTTGAGGCTTTCTTGGTAATTAGCAATTTCTCTTACTAATGGACAATCAAGCGTCTGCTGGAGCCCATCCAGTCTTTGGTTCATTAAAGGGAGGACCTGAGATTGGCAATAAAACTCCCTAGGAGTGGGGAGGCAGGAGTTTGAGACTCTAATCAAAGACCAGCAGGAGGGTCTGAAACCAACCCTTTCTCACCAGCAAGCTCAATGTGGCTGTGCCCTGACAGAGCCTGCAGGTTGTTTTGGACATGAGCGGCGTCGGAAAATAGAATAATGCAGCTTAACTAGGAAACAGGTATTGCATCCTCCATGTCTCACAGGCTGGCCCTGAAGTAAAGGAAGTGTTTTTTCTTAATTTATAAGGCATGGAAGTTAACCTCAAGGTACTTCCAGTTCAAAATATGGTTCTTTTTTCCTGATAATGATCAAAGAGTGCACTGTAATTCAAACCCACATCCTGGAAAGGTGAACAGCAGACAGCCACACCAACTGCTCAGGGCGTCTGCTTCCAGTGATCTACCCTCCTCCTTGCAGATGTCAGAAGTATATATATGAAGAAATAATGTCAGAAGATGAACACGTTCTGTAAGTAATTATCCATCCTCATCCCCTGCCTGCACATCTTGTTTTGTCTGTGCTGCCACTGTAGCATATACACCCTCAACTATACATGATTTTTTTAACCCAAAACATGAATTAATGCAAGCATGCTAAATACCACGGTATGGTGACTTTTTTAACACATTAAAAATAAAAACTATTTTCTTTCTTTCTTGCAGGAAGGAACAGCAGACAACCCATGTCAGCAGCCAAATTAAAAAAAATCTTTCTGAACAAAAGGTGCTCTTTTCTAGAGACTTGGGCTCAGTCATCACCTCCAGATTTAATGGACTGCACCTTCTTCAGCGTTTGGGAAATACAATTTGGCAGTCTGCAGAGGAAGATTTATTTTTATTTACACACATCTATAAATAAAGACTGCATACTGTAGCATCAGCCAGTCAGATGCACGATAGAAGTTCACCTTCTTTTGAAGAGAAACAGTCAGGATTATAGTGTGGATCATTTTCTGACTGCAGCTGAAAAATGCACCTTCCCTTATCTACCAGTGGTGAAGAGGACTGCACCTGTCAGGTGCCTCTCACTGCCAGGACTGCAGCCTGCCCTCTCAGGCAGAAGCCAGAAGACAGTGATGCAAAGATACTGAGGGGAAGGAAATGAAAGAGAAGAGCTTTGCAAAAGTGGGACTTTGCCCTTAGTAATTAAAAGTAGCATGGATTTCAAACCAGCTCTAACAGCTTTCCATCTACAGACAGAAGGAAGGAAAAGGGGAACAATACACAGTACAATTCACTGCCAAAAAGATTGTAGAGATACACCTTCATGAGAATCTTAAAGTATGAGCAAAAGGAAATCTTGAGGGATGGATAGTTTTAGCAAGGCCAAACCACGTAAACAAAAGATATCAAGGAAAAAAAAAAAACAGGGAGGTGGGGGGAAGCAGGAAGGGTCCAAATGGATTTAAATCTATTTTGGGCTACAGAAAACAGGTTTGCTGACTAAGCGCAATGCCTTGAACTACTTAACCACAAACAAGCCTCTTGAAAAAAAGTTATGTCCATAAAGTTATTCACACAACAGTTGGGACTCCTAATTTTTCCAGCCCTGTATCTTCTCTAGCCAGAAAACATTTTACACCCCCAGTAGTTCTTGCCGATCGCAAAGCAGTGAAAAAGCCCTTGTCAAAAACAAATCAGAAGTGCAGAACCTCGAAGGAATTGGACCAGAGACAATCAATTTAGAATTCTGCTCACCATTTTGTTTAGCACATACTCCTTGGTTCTGCGTAGCCCAATATGCTGCTGAAGGACCACGGAGCAGTTTCACATATCGAGGAGGGTAAAAAAAAGATGGTAACAAGTGGTTGTTCGTTTTACCTTCGCTGTAAATCTGAGGACAACACACAGGGCACCACATCAGTGCCAAACAAGTGCAGGCAGATATACAGTCTGCTGCTTGCCCCGATCAAGCCACAGAGCAGCAGGAAAAAAATAAGGCTCTCTAGCAAGACATAAAAATACTCAAATCTGTTGTAAGTAGGAGTCCAGTTTTAAGGAGGTCTGAACTCTCCTAACTCCAGAAAAACATCACCACTACCTAGACAGAGTAAGTCAACCCACAGACCCCAAACAGCCCTACAGCAGATGCAGATTTCAGCTGGTAATGTGAGCAGCATTTTGAGGAGCAGTGTGGTGCAAGAAGGCTATTCACCAAGACTGGGAAAAAACCCACACACATTCAAATCAGCTCAAACTGAATCTTTGATAGAGGCAACATGATAGCTGTATCTTGGTGAGGTTTTAGAGAGAAATAAAGAATTTCTGAGGAAGTACAACTACCCCCATGTAAACTATCCAGGAACATAAAGTTTACACAGTAGGCAATCTAATCACCCATGCTGTGATTGCTTTGCTGTAAGTCCAGAAGACTGGGTGAGGGACCACAAAATCTATGGGTTGTTTAATGTCATGCTTGGTGTTAAAATACTATACGTTTTGACAGATGAGGAAAGCTGAGGACTGACAGCTATTTCCCTAACTCTTGGACAGGATTCATAAAAAGAGGCACCACAAAGCCATCTGATGCCAGAAAATACAAACCACACAGACCTTGAAACCTCCCTTTCTGCAAAAGAACTCAAGCTTTGCACTGCCCAGGAGCATGAACTGACTCTCTCTCTCTCTCTAAAGGGATCATTTGTCTCTTCTTTTATAGGATGTTTTAGTCAGGTCTCTCTAGAGTCCTCTAGTAAGGGAGGTAGATGTACTCAGTACTCAATGCTGAAATTATGGAGCCATCAGCATTTGCCATGAATTATTTGGCATCAATCACAAGAGACTTTTTTTTCTCTCTCTCTCCTTGAAAGTACACAGTTTTTCCTATGTGGGACTGTTTGGCTATATCTGGTTGACTTGATCATTGGGAAAAATGATCACAGGATGTCTGATCAAGTACCAAACAATAACATTTACAATTCAATCTCTGATCAGTCAACTTTGTTCATGAAAACTCAACTGTTGTTTAAAAAAAACAAAACAAAACAAACCAACAAAAAACAAACCTCAAAAACTCTGAGTCCACTAGAAAATAGTTAAACAGATTAATTAGTAAAAAAACCCAACCAACCAAACAAAAACCACCACCACCACCAAACCCACAAAAACCATCCCACAATTCAGTACCAGTAACAAACTAGATAGGGAACATCTACATTGTTTTTTCAAAGCAATAATTATTATGACTGTACTTCTGAGAATCAAACAGAGCAAGCTCTCCAGTGTTTTGACCTCCAGAAGGTCATGTTCACAAGTCAGTGACCATGAGAGCCAAGCTGGCATTCCCATGCCCACAACAACAGATCCGATTACTTCAACCAACATGCATTAAAAAGCAAATGCAGCACATAAAGCTCCCATTGTTTCCTTAATTCAAATACCTATATCCACAGAAACAAAGAGGAGAGAACAGCACCCTTGCCATTTCTGTATCTTACACGTGCTCTGTTTCTTTACTTTCCTTACATATTTTGTTTTCCCCTTTTCTTCCCCTTGTATTTACCTGTTTGGAAATACTTACTCCACCCAAACTCAAACCAAAACGGAGCTGAGTACATTGATTTGATACCTATTTGCTTTGTGAATGTTGTTCTTTTCACCATTATTCACTGCAATTCTTCAGATTTGGCTAAGACAAAATACCATTTTGTTCCTCTCTCAATTGTAGATGCAGATCCAGGGGCTCGGTAAAAAAATAAATTTGTTTCATACTTACTACTTTTGAATTTGCTGAATAACCTAGCAGTTCAAATAATTCATTTTGAGAAGAAACAGAAATCTTCAGTAAGTACACTGCTGAAGTAATAGTTCAAAGGGGATCAACAGCATTTTATAACAAGCATATTAAGATAAAAATTTACAAGATCCAACAATAACTACCAAACATCCTATCCCCAAGGTCATTTGAGGAATGGCTGGGACCAAATCTCAGTGAAAACCCCTCCACAAGTATTCAGCATCCTCTACCCTGTCCCACTGGGTGGGGACTGGGTTTGCCTTCCTCCCTGGAAGGCCTAAGACCATCACCAAATCTGGCAGCTCTGTGAGCTCCTGTGCTTGCACCTCAGCTCCTGCAGTGCCCAGGTATGACAGCGCTGCCTGTGTGTCACACAACACAGGGACAATGTTGCCACCAAAATCCTCCATCACCTCCGTATTCTCCTTGGGCAGACAGAGGAGCTGTGCTGACCTGAAAGGGGAGCTGAATGTGCAGCTTAATGTGGCTGCTAATCAGGAGGCTATTTATGCCTACTTTGTAAATGTCCCTATTTACTTTAAATAAAGCTGTGTTAGAAGAGCCAAAACAAAAATACCTATCCGGAGTGTAGTAGACAAAACTTACTGTGAAAGTGATATTGCTGCAGAAAAATATGATGTAGCCCGTTTTGCAAGGTTGCTAAATTATGTATTATTAAGGGCAGTACACAGTGACCTATTAATACATCTAGAGCCCTTTGTTACCCTATT